GATGAAGATTGCTTGTATTAGTTATGTATGGACTCGGCGAGTCAGTAAGAAGACTCGACAAGTTAGTTAGGGTTTTCCCCGACATTTGGACACCACATGGACTCGGCGAGTTGGCTGGGAACTCGACGAGTCAACTAGGGTTTTCACAATTTCTTGAGTTCTGGAAGGACTCGATGAGTCAGTGAGCTGCACTCGACGAGTTGGGTCAACATGGACTGTTTACTTTGACTTTGACCAAGGGTTGACTAGGTTGACTTCTGGGTGTATTTTAGTAATTTAGGAATTTATAGAAGTGGATCATTGTTGGATGTAGGTGTTGGAGTTGGAGTTGTATTTGGAGGAGTTTGACATTATCACTCCGAGCTACCCGTGATGTGAGTACTTCTCACTATATGAACAGGGTCTAAGGCACCAATGTCGTCCCTTTCGGGTTTGTTTTCGGGCTTATTGATTTGCATCCTGGTAGTTAGGATGGTTATATGCTTAGTGACCAGGTAGGTCGGCATCCTGGTATATAGGATAATGTGATGTTAGTGACCGGTTAGGTCGGTATCCTGGTTATAGGATGTTACTGTGATTAGTGATCAGTTGGATCAGTTTGACTGTTATATATGCTCGCGTATGATATTTATGCGCACATGTTTGTTTGATTTGGGGTTGGGTTGAGGCGGTCCTGCTTTGTTTTGAAGCCCAACATACCTAGGGTGGACTGGATAGACTACAGGCCCGGGAGGGCGTACTAGTTAGGCCGAAGACCCGACAAGCCATCCGGATAGGCTGAAGGCCCTGCAAGGCGGTCCAGATGTGTCAGAGACTCGGAGAGCGGTCCAGATAGGCTGAAGGCCCTGCGATGCGGTCCAGTTGGTCTGAAGGATCATTATGCATGTTGTTTGTTTATATGATATAATTATTATTGTATGGCATTGGTATTTTGGGGGAATTCACTAAGCTTCGGGCTTACAGTTGTTGATTTTGTTTCTGGTACTTCTTATGATCGCGGGAAGGCGGAGGCGTGATCGTACACTTCCTTATGTTTTCATGAAATGATTTTGGGATACTCTGACACTAAACTGTTTTGAAAACAAGTTTTGTAACAATTGTTGGTTTTTGAATGTTTTAAAAAGTTTAAATTTGGCATGATTATTATGTGTGTTACAATATCCGCGCTTTAATAGCACTACGGTTAAGAATGACTAGAAAAATACATCAATTGGACGTCCATAATGCATTTCTATGGAGATTTCAATGAAGAAATTTACATGCAATTACTTATTGATCTCATTGTTGATAACCCTCATCAAGTTTGCAAGTTACAAAAGTCCTTATATGGATTGAAACAAGCCTCGAGACAAATGGTATGCAAAATCCCCATATGCTTTGAAAGACAAAGGTTATCAACCATCGACAAAATTGTTGAATCTATATGCCCAATAATCATTATTGAGTGACATTGCTAATAGTATATGATCCTAAAAGGTTACACTTTTATCAAGTTGTCACATTTTGTATATTTATTATTAATATTGTAATGCTTGGTCCATGCAATATTCATTTCTTAACATGTTTTAGGATTCGGGTTGGAACTCGACGAGTTGGGGAGCTCCAACTCGACATGTAGGAATCTATTTGGCCACGGAGTTTAAGGGTTCAACTCGACGAGTTAGGGTGGCCCAACTCGACGAATTGACGACCAAAGATGAAACCTTAATTTTAGGGTGTTGTACCTTATATAAAGGACTTAAACTCTCTTGGTTGGCCTCCTTAACAGCCTCCTTGTCCATAGAAACCCTAGATTCGTTTTCCATCTTACATTGGAAGTGTCGTGAGCTTAAATGTAACATCCCGTTTTAAGTAGAATAATTAAATAATTAAACAAAAACCAAAACC